CGATGTTGGTTTGCCTAGCATGTGTTCAATTGCACCTGAAGTCCACTGAAGTAAAACCGAGGAGCAAGACAATGTTACACTGGTTTAATTTTGCTAAACGAGGCGATGAACTAAATCGCACACAAGGTTAATGGTGGTAAAACTGAAACCCCCCAAAAAACCCACAATATTTCCACAGAATATTCCCACTAACCGAGACCCGAGACGTAAATCGTTTTATTTTCTCGTTCGACATACAATGAGTTTTATTTTGGCAGTCGCTCCAAATCTGCCCAAGTAATCTCAATCTTTACTCTTAGTTGTTTTGTTTTTTATTTTTTTCTTTATTTTTAGTGGTTTTGGAATTAATTATTGGGAAATAAATTAAAACTTCCACAACAGACGGTTTCCTGAACAAAAGTCAACAATAGTACAATTAACATTTTCTTAACAATTATCAATATTGGTCAGTTCATTAGTTATTGTTTGATTTTCCGAATTAGAGAAACCTCACTACGTTGGCTATTAAGTAAGACAAGCCATAAAGGAATAACTGTGCGAGAGTGTTTCAATATGAAACTTCTATATTGTTCCGGCTTAGTTAACCGGGAAAAAATGATGAATCAAACGCGATTTCCATTCGCTGCTTTCCACATCATTCGTGAAATTTAGTCCCATTATTTAATAACACATGGAGACATTTCTTTTTTGTTTTAAACTTGAGGTTTTCGTTATTACCCTTTGACACCTGCCTGCTTGGTTCTGTGTGATATCGTTTTCTTATGTTTTTTTATTTTTAATTTTTTTGGTGGGGGCGGAGGTAGAAACGGTCACTTACTTTTGAAGTGAGAGGTGAGTTTTAGTATTGCTACGTTCTCCATGGCTTCCGCCAGCAGACAAAAGCGAATTCTCCCATTCTTTAAGTGATCTGCATCGCACAGGTATGTATTAACCAGCCACTGAGGTAATATTAACCCCTAATGTAACGTGTAAGGTAAAGGTAAAATCTGCATACGAGTCAAGTGACCCACCAGGCCGAAGCTTTTCCTGGTTTCTGTAGCNAAAAACCCAGAATATTTCCACAGATTATTCCCACTAACCGCGACCCGGGATGTAAATTGTTTTTGATTTTCTCGTTCGATATACAATGAGTTTTATTTTGGCAGTCGCTCCAAATCTGCTCAAGTAATCTCAATCTTTACTCTTAGTTGTTTTGTTTTTTTATTTTTTTCTTTATCTTTAGTGGTTTCGGAATTAATTATTGGGAAATAAATTAAAACTTCCACAACAGACGGTTTCCTGAACAAAAGTCAATAATAGTACAATTAACATTTTCTTAACAATTATCAATATTGGTCAGTTCATTAGTTCTTGTTTGATTTTCCGAATTAGAGAAACCTCACTACGTTGGCTATTAAGTAAGACAAGCCATAAAGGAATAACTGTGCGGGAGTGTTTCAATATGAAACTTCTATATTGTTCTTGTTTAGTTAACCGGGAAAAAATGATGAATCAAACGCGATCTCCATTCGCTGCTTTCCACATCATTCGTGAAATTTAGTCCCATAATTTAATAACACATGGACACATTTTTTTGTTTTAAACTTGAGGTTTTCGTTATTACCCTTTGATACCTGCCTGCTTGGTTCTGTGTGATATGGTTTTTTTATGTTTTTTTATTTTTAATTTTTTTGGTGGGGGTGGAGGTATCAACGGTCACTTACTTTTGAAGTGAGAGGTGAGTTTTATTATTGCTACCTTCTCCGTGGCTTCCGCCACCAGACAAAAGCGAATTCTCCCATTCTTTAAGTGATCTGCATCGCACAAGTATGTATTAACCAGCCACTGAGGTAATATTAACCCCTAATGTAACGTGTAAGGTAAAGGTAAAATCTGCATACGAGTCAAGTGACCCACCAGGCCGAAGCTTTTCCTGGTTTCTGTAGCATGAAACGACTAGGAATATTTCTACTCTCCCCTGGATGGGATGCGTTCGCAGGGCTACCCCCAGCATTAAATTCGCCGGTACTCATTTATGTATCCCTGAGTGGAGAGAGGCACTGTGAGAGTAAAGTGTCTTGCCCAAGAACACAACACNGCAAGTGCCATAATAACAGGGTTGGCATCTCCAATGACGCCACTGTTCACACGACGGATCACACCAACACGATCGCCCCACCCACCATAGAAGAAGATGTGGGTGTTGGAGGAGAGTCAAACCGCGAACCGACCGGCTTATTAGAATGACAATGGAAACAAATCACTAAGTAAAGAGCAGGAGTTTGCTTTGTGTTCTAAATTTATTAGTAAACACTGAGAACAGATATTCATAAGTAGAGCACTTTTTCTCAGTCACCACGAGGCCTTAGGCGATACCTAGTGACGAAAAAGATAGGTTAAGGTGGCTCAGTCACCCGGCCGGCCAAGAAAAAAAGTTTACCCAGCCTGTTTACGTTCATGTGTAGTATATGAACACATGTAGATGCATATAAATACATGTTAAGAAATCCGCTATGCATGTTTAACTAAATTTGTATTTTTTTGTTTTGATGCCCTCCCTCCCCTCCTTGAGCGCATCTTATCACAGCGATTGGTATTACATATGATGTTACATGTTTTACGGCTTCATTTTGAATTTGCTTTTTTTTTTGTTCTTTTTTTTGTTTCTTTTTATTCTGAGTTGCCGTACTTCTAGCTCCGGCAGGCCCTTTCGCAAACGGGTTCAATTTCAATCAGATAATGAAGCCTAAAATTAGCAATATTTATTCCTAACGTCGGTATCAATGTAATTGACTTTACTTGCTTTTACTAGTAGTTATTAAAAGTACTCCAACTTTACCCTTATATGCTGATATGTAATTTCAGATTTTCTTTGTATATCTTTCTGACACGTAATTATCTAGCATCCGTCAAAATACATCATGTTCTGTTGACAAGATTTTCTCAGTAATAACTTTAACGAGGAATTATATTATTTTCTGGCTCACAATGCCTTTGAAACGAGCCAGCGGTAGTGCCGTTGAAAACAAAAGAACTGTTCATCTTAGAAATGATTCATCACAGAAAAACCGACCAGCCAATAATCTCATTTGTAATGAACACCTGTCGTTTCACAAACTAAATATAATGACATGCTCAGTAATAAAAATTTAGTCGGAGGCCTCTAAATAAAGATTGTCATTAATTCTAGAAGCTCCTCTGGTAGAGACTCTGGTTGAAACTTGACTTCTCGAAGAAACCCGTCCCACAAAGTAAGTGCAATTAACTGTCATCTGAAAATTGTCAGTTCAGGTTTAGGTTTAATTTAAGTATTTAACCGTCAAGCAGTGATCGCTTGTCCTTTTCTGCGAACGCGGCTTTCTTTAGCTGTAATTTTCGTTATCTATATTTTCCGATAATGATTTCCTAGCGCAGTTTACTTCTGAAAGGAAACACACACAAACAAAACGGAGATGTCAGGTCGCTTTTCTTGCGAACTGAAAGTGCTTTAGTGACTTGATAACTAAAAATGTCCTCAGAGGCACAAAATGGCTGAAAACTGGTTTAAACAGTTGGCTGTTTAATTGGAGCTAGCGGAGCACATAATGTACACATTGACATACGCCGATGATAGTAATGTAGCAAAATATCTTTCCCACACTGGCTCTTTATGTATGAGTTGTTAGGGAAGAAGACTGATCGTTGTTTTTCGTAAATGAATTTTTATAACCTTTTGAACTGAAATTTTTACAAGTTGAAATTGACGACTCATCCCACTTCAGCTAAGTCTTTCGGCTGGGTATATAAATAAGACAAGCTATAAAAATGATATCGAAATCTTAAGAAAATAATTTTTCATAAAAAAAATATATTAAAAAAAAAAATGTAGTGGACGTTTTCAACAATCAGCGTGTACTGGTTTGTTTTGTTAATTGTACGCTATATTTTAACACCTGCCAGTGTTTGCTTCTCGCATTATCTATTTTTTGACTTCCTTTTTTGGTTTAATTAAATTGAATTAGAATATCTTACAACGAACTGAAGACGTACATTTTAGCTCAAGTTTATCAGAGATCGCAGGATGCTTCTACTTCGACTAAAGAACCATAATTTTCACACTTCACAAAGTAATGAATTATGTCCACAACAAGATCTTTCAATGAACAAAAAGCAAACAACAACATTATTGCATTTTTCATAAAATCTCTCAGTTGCAATTTTCAGTACTCGTTCCTTTTGTTTTCCATTTCAAAAATTTCGAAAGGGGAGCACAAACCTCAAAAAGGTGGGATTACCGTTTTCCTCATTCTTGCAAATGTCTTGGGAAAACAGGATGGATGGCAGTTATCCGTTTTAATTCCTCCCTCCCCCTGCAAAATAAATAAATAAATAAATAAATAAATAAAAAATAAAATAAAACACGTTCTTACTGGATTTCTTCTCGGTAGTAATTGACATACATATATTTTATTTCAATTTATTATATTTGTTGTTTTTCTTTCCTATGTGACTCGACAATCTACTCAAAAAGGGTAACTCTAAATTTATTGCTGTAAGTAATTTGATTTGAAGTTTACAATTGCTGAGTTGACAATCACTGTCCTAAATATACTGTCCCTAGCAACAGAAACGATATTGAAGGCGGGTCCTAGAGAATGCATTAAATATTATATATGGAAAAGGGATCTGAAATCACCAAAACCATAACAGATTGTAAAAAAAATGAAACATTTTTTGCTCCTCTCGAGCCAAAACAGGATCATTCGCTCCAAGCATATGCACCAAACCGAATTCGCTCGTTAAATTAAACCCAGGATACTTAATTTAAGTATTAGAAGGGGCTAAAACGACTAAAGTATTATTGCCTTTAAATTGTGTTAGCTATGAAGAAAACGACTTCCAGCTGAGGTGTCGTTTCTGCAGGACAGTACGTTATAGACCTCTTTTAAGCCCTGCACATTTCGAGGATCTTTCTCGCATTTTTTGCCCATTACTGTGTATTCGAATGTAAGAACAAGGTACGTGTACATTGATTACTGTGTTTATTTTCGGAAAAATTTCGCAAATGTGAGCCTTGATATTTCTATAAAATATATTCTTATAAAAAGAGTGTAAATAATATGTGGCTTTGCACAGAGTTGTTGTGACCTTTTTGTATTATCATGGCTTTTGTTCTATCCAGCGATTTTAAGACGTTATGCCACAGTACACAGATTCAGAAGCAGCCCAGATTGGAATAACCATAATGTTTACCATAATAGTGGTCACAAATCTCCTTGGAAACACAGCCGTGTGCCTTGTTATTATTTTGAATCGTGATATGAGGTATGTTATGAACCTTGAAGTAATATTGTATTAATGCACCGGCGCAGTTGCTCTTATGCCTATGTAGTACATCGGTCACGACCCATGTTTACTAAGATTACACACTTGATATTAGGGAAGGACCATAAAAAAGAAGAAGACAAAACAAAACCAAAGAAAACGGGCAAGGAAAACTTGCACAAAAAAGTATGCACGGCGAGTAACACATCACTGGAAAAGAAATCGTGGACTCTAGCTTAAGTATCCAGAGTTGGAGTATTCCAGACTGTTATAAAAACTGGAGTATTCCGTCTTTTATTGAAAGGGGTAAGAAGAGGCCCCTTAAAACTAGGATATTATCGAATGTAAAACACCTAAAAATACGTAGATGATATGACGATGAAATACACTAGAACGCCACCAGATGATATCAGTGAATTAAATCGTCAAAGAAATTAAATTCCTTGGCGCCTGTGAAAAAATAGAATTAATTATAGCGCGTATTATCATTGTTAACCATCAAAACACTTCTAAAAATGGTTAAGTAAAGTCATCAACTTTAGCTCACTTCTTCAGCTGTAGTATTTTACTCATGCTTTCAATTCTTTTCCACCACACAGGAGTCCCATGAACGTTTTACTCCTGAACTTGGCTGTAGCAGACATGATGGTTGCCCTGTTCATCGCACCACGCTTTATCTTGATTCATCTTTTCAAACATCCTGACGGATTAGCCGGCAAAGTGTTCTGTGAGCTGCTGACCGGAGGCAACTTAGCATGGTACGGTGGAATTACCTCTGTGTTCACTCTGGTAGTGATCGCCTTTGAACGTTACTATGCTGTCATGTATCCGTATGGCAATCGAGGGAAGCTGACGTACAGAAAGTTAAAGGTATCGTTTATGTAAAGCAAGCGTGCCGGTTTCCTCTCTTTTTTTGGACGGGGGGCACTTATTTAAGTTGGCGCTTTGAAATTTGGGGGAAGTGCATATTAACAATTTCAAAAATTGCTCAAAAAACATATATTTTTCCTTCTAAGATCGATAGCAATGTCAACATCGTCAGCAATGGTGATAAAAATAACAGTGATTATAACATTTTAAAATAACAACAAAACGATAGCAACAACAGCAAGGACAATAATAATAATAATAATAATAATAATAATAATAATAATAATAATAATAAATTGTAAGATGTCACTGCCATGCACTATGTCTCTGCCAATCGACGTATACTGAGAGTCTCTTTACAGACTGCCAGGTGAGGTGCCGGTTATAGAACAAAATCAAAAGATTAAAAGGTCGATGAAAGGCAGCACGGCAGAGTTGTTTCTTTTCTTTTCTTTTTTTTTTTTCTCTCTTTATGGGCACAATTACCGGAATAAACGATATTGTATTTGTGCTATTAAGTTAGGAGTCCGCCGTTTCTGTCCGTTGAGAAAACCGTGAAAACGCGACAGCAACTTCGGATGCTAGTTTTCGGGTCTCGATAGAGGACTATAACGCCTCCGAATCATACCTTAGCCCTAGATACAGAAAATACATAATTTTGGAAAGTAAGATTTTACAAGGAATCCTCTCTTGGATTTTATTGAATATCAGCCCATACACACCACCTCATCAATAGATTTTGCAGACGGCTATAGTTAGAACACTCTCCATTTCTCACATGAGAGCCAAAATGATGACCAATTCCCAGCTGTCAGATAATCGCCATCCAGGACCCTCAGACAGTGTATAGACAGTATTTAATATTTATATTAAACAGAGGCCCCGTCCATACTACGCCGAATAGGCCTACCGTCCACACTAATCCGTCGCGAAAACGAAGCTTTTCGAAAACGCTCTTCAAACCGGAGGAATTTGAAACAAATATCGGACGCTGGCTTTGCAAGTTAGTGTGGACGAAAAGCATTTTGTAAACGGGGCTTTTCCAGAACGAAGACGTGACGTTAAACGTGTGAGGCCCCTTCCCGGGTTTTCCTCAAGTACAGATCCAAAATGACCGGTGATTGTTGTGTTTTCAAATTTCTGCGGCGTATTATGGACAGAAACCATTTAATGCGTTTTCAGAGTAAAAGCGCCGTTTTTGTAGTTTCTCAGGCGTAATGAGAACGATGCTTGATACTCAGATTCCAGAAGCTTCGTCACACTGTCTATAGCCTAGTTCTGATATAGATGACTATTACCTAGTAATAAAAGTTTGATGTATTTTATTATTATATAATTTTTTTTATGTATAGTTAGGAATTTTTATAGTTTAAATTTTTTTAACATGTAGTATATAACACAAGTAATTCAGCTTATAGCTGCAAGTTGTGAGTTTAATAAACGATTTATCTATCTATCTATCTATCTAACTAACTAACTAACTAACTGCGACGCAACATTAATTCACTTCTGTTAACAGGTCATTATTCCTGTTCTATGGATTTCAGCAGCCATCCTTGTCAGTCCACTTTTCCTCACAATCAGTTTTGATCAAAAAACCAATTTCTGCGTTGAATACTGGCCCAAAGAGTGGCTTCCCAAGGCATACAGTACCACCTGCTTCTTTTTTCTTGGTTTTATTCCTGTATCGGTGATGACTGTGTTGTATTCCAGAGTGGTATATTCATTGTGGTTTAAACGCGAAGAAAACGAAATGGAAAGCACCCGACAGGTACAACTCCTCGGTCATGCTTGTAAACAACCTATTAGTCTGTCCCCACCAGTTGGGTTTTTTTAAAAGTTTAATTGAAATTTTTTTTCTTTCAGTTTAAGTGGCGTGCCTAAGAACTAACTAGTTGTAGCTAAGCGCATTGATCACTATCTACATTAAAAAACAATAACGCTGATGATCAAATATCAAATAAAAGTTTTTATGCCGAGAGCGGCGCCTATTTATAAACCCAGCGCACAAAAGACTATAATGAAATGGTTATAATCGCGGTCGTGCATGCGGTCAGAAATCACTGAATCACTGAGACACTTGTTTGGATTAATTTGGTCACTCACGTGGCGTTTATTTCAAACCATTCAAATGCTAAGGTGTCAAATTAATCAATTAAACATCGCTATATTTGATTCAGTGAAAAAAGTTGGGGCGAAAAACAGCCAGCCCAGTAAGANGCAGAGCACGCGAATTTAAAGCTTGCTCTGCGTGTGGTGTCTAGCCCATTATCGGCTATCTACCTCTGCACAAAACCCATTATCGCGCTAAGTCAATAATGGGCCATTTATTCACTTGCATTATCTCTCTCATCTAGAAGGAATTAAGTTTGCAGTTGCTAATTTTGACCATAACGTAGAAAAGCAGGCAGTATTTTCCCACTCGCGCTTTGAATGAGCACGTGTACGGAAAAATGTGGAGCTTCCTACTTCTGAGCAAGCAATGCTTAAGCGACCAAGAGTTGAAACACAAGTTAAATGATGAATTAATGTAATTAATGACAAAATTTAGAGAGGAAGCCACATCAGCCTGAGGTCGTCTTCATACGGGTCCTCTATCCTGGTCGAATTGGAATTTGGAGATGTTGGTTTTTGTGGAGGGACGAAATCCCGAGTACCCGCAGAGAAACCCTCTGGGCAAGGCGAGAAACAACAACGAACCCAATCCACATATGATATCGGGGCGGAATCTAACCTGCGCCACATTGGTGGGTGGAAAACAAAAACAACTGCTTCCCAAGGGACCAGTGATTAAGTGTATATTAGTCATTTCTCCAAATTTCGATTCAAACTAAATGCGATGGAAGGAAGAAATGTATTATATTATATTATTATTAAATTATTATATCATTTATCATACCATTTTTCCCCTAGGGTGTGATGAAAGTAAGAAAACGGGTCACCAAGATGGTTCTTTCTGTGAGTGTCATTTATGGATTGTGTTGGATGCCCAACCAATTCATTTATGTGTTCAACTACTTCATTCCTTCGCAGAACTATGGCAATGTCATCTATATAGTTTCTATTGTCCTTGTGTCATGCAATTCCACGGTGAATCCTTTTATCTACGTTTTCGTGAACCAAAGGTTTCGACGTAAGGTTAAGAGTTTGATATGCTGTGGCACACCCTGCAGTAACAGGGTTGACGTCTCCAGGGACTCCACTACTCATACCACTGATCGCACCAACACCACTAACCAGCCCACCCTGGAAGAGGAAGACTGCAGTGGAGTAACCAAGCAGGAAGCAAACCCCCTGAGCCTGGTTTCAATGTGAGTGCTGGGAAAGGTTTCTGTTTTCCCTGGCCAAAGTGTACGCTACTTACAATCACCTCCCAGTTTCTTATTTAGATTTATATAGACAGGCATACTGAAAAACTTGAATTATTAAACAAAACTATGTACATAGTTTTCATCACCAAGCATCACCGCAGGCCGACAATCCTCCGCATGAATCAAGTGTTGTTATTAAAAGCCGAATGCTCCACGTGTGCAGGTTTTATGGTAAATGGTTAAATATAGGCTTAAACGGAACTGATCGTGGTAAGCTTAGTCGAATTTCGTGGTAAGCTTAGTCGAATTTCAATTCAAGGATGGAAGTTGATTCCAATCTGCCTATCAGTGTAATGCGACTGTTACCAGTTCGAATTCCAGAGAACACAAAAAAGCACCACATGCGGACACGACTCTAGAACTTTTACTGAATTGCAACTTACATTTGAATTTGCATAAGTGGAACAATCGGATTTTGTTAACAACAAACTTCTCAAACAGAGGACGATCTTGATCTGCCAGTTGGGATTTGATATTTCTAGCCAAAAATCAAAAGCAAATAGAGGTGGTTCAACCTTCTAGTGAGGGTTGGACTTGTTTCATCCCTTAACGTTCTATGCATATGGTTGAAAACACTAGAAAACATGAAATGAAACATGACACCTAACAGGGCGACAATTGGTTGCACATGGCAAAACCTATAAAACCAAATTATCTTCCTAATTGTAATTTTTACATAACAAGCACTGAATAACAATATGTATCAACTCCCTGCAAAAACGTTACCTAAAAAGACAATTTTGTACAGTCGATAATGCTTATGTACATACGCATGTAAATATATACCTCATGTCAATAAAATGTTATTACACATGGATCTAGTCCATGTGTTAGCTTGTTGTCCGCTGTTACTGCCGCCTTTTCAGTTTCAGAGACTAGCCCCATATTTTTCGCAATATTTCCACTTTGCTTTGAAGGAAGCGTCCTTCCTGTATCACTATCCTAGAAATAATCCGTATTCTTCATTAATGATGGTAATAGGACCGAGCGGAGTCCAATTCGGTCTGTAATCATAAGACTGATTAACAAAATCAGACGACCGTGAAGCAGGAATTAAACACAAGATGTCCTGTTACCAATTTATCACAATCATTAATACTTCTCAAAAAAAGTAAAAGTTTCATTTGAAAAATACCTTCTAATAGTCATATGGTAATTACGTATGGTAATTACAATTTTCGCAAAAAGAAAAAATAAGATGAAAAATGGATGTTAAGTTTCTTTGAAAGCAGCCACCGGCTGAGATAAATCTCGACAATTTCATTTGAACGGTTACTATAGTGATTTTACTCAGTAACATGACTGGAGGATTTAGTTGGGAGGACTTAAAATGCTTGGCTCATACAACTGTCCGATTACAAGTGTCCAATTACAGCCAATATAGTCATAGTCATAGCCAATATAGTCAAAATAGTCATTTACAAAGATGCACTAGGTAACTGTTCTGTTTTGTTTTACTGTTCTAAATTCAACTTAATTACAGAATGTATTTGCTAAATAGATCTCTGTGTCAAAAATAGGGGAGAAAACTTTTCATGAACTTTTCAGTCGCAAAATGTTGCTGTCTCCAAAACCAAGATAAACTGCTGACGATAGAATAAGATAGTCATCCCATCGATAGAAGGAGCGAGAAGAGGCTGAGTTGTGTAATACTCATAAACGGCATCATTCCGGTGAAAAGACAAAAACAAGAATCGCGCTGTTTACGAGTAACGGCTGCATCAAAAATGATCATGCACCATAGCCATTTGTTTCTCTACGGTACATTAATTTACTGTTACTTACTTTCCAGTACTGGTTAATTGTTATCTACTAGAGCGGTTTTCAACTGAGTGTCGAAAGTAATCAGGTAATTACTTTGGTTTTGGTTGTACTACATTTGAGATTGGCTGAGTATTCTAGCTGGTAAGTAATCGTTTTGGTTTTGGTTTTACGACGGTTAGTTTCTTTCGTGGTATCGCAGTTTATTCTTACACGTTTCATCGAGCACATTCGAGTTCTTCTACGTTGCTTTCAATCTTTAAAAGTCTGCATACGAGCCAAGTGGCCCATCAGGCCGGAGCTTATCTTGGTTTCTGTAGCATGAAGCGACTAGGAGTATTTCTACTTCCCCCTGGATGGGATGCGAGTCCATCGCAGGGTTACCCCCAGCATTAAGTTCGCCGATACCCATTTATACACCCGGGTGGAGAGAGGCACTGTGAGAGTAAAGTGTCTTGCCCAAGAACACAACACAATGTCCCCGGCCAGGTCTCGAACCCGGACCGTTCGATCCGGAGACGAGCCGGCGCACTAACCATGAGGCCACCGCGCCTCCCACTGCTTTCGATCTTTACCACTCAAGAAAACTCAGTCGTGTGAGGTTGAAAGTATGTAAAGAAGTAAAGAATGTATGGCTGGACTCATCCCTAGTCCCATCTTGTGCCGTTAAGTGAGAGACTGGTAAAATCCCTGCTGGACACAGAGGGGATTATGGGAAGTATTCTATAGGCCATATTTGGTATCCTCGTTATTGGACTGGAAATGTTTGGCAGTCAAACGCGATTAAACATTTTTTGGTGACCAAACACGTTGATGTTATACTGATTGGCGAAACGGCATCAAACATGTTTGAACGAACAAAATGTTTTACAATGTTTGCGTTTGATCAAATGTTTGACGTCGTTCAAATTTTATCAAAGACGGACAACTAACACTATACAACACGCACAAACAAGGTGTCCAAACGGTAAAATGTCTGGTCACTAAACAATTTTTGATCGTGTTTGATCGCTAAGCATTCCCTGTTTAATTGGACGGGGCTTTAGTCTCCGGTCCTTAAAGCTCACTTTTTGGTGACAACTGGTCTTGCAATAGGCACTAATGAACGAATAGACTCAGTCGTGTCTTCCTTTGGAGGCAACTTTGCTTATGCTGATATCTCATAAATATATTGAGTTAGCATTTTCTTCCTTTTACGCTAACGATCGAACTTAAGTAACAGCTTGGTTGATTTTATTATTTTGGGGGTTGTGAGTAAAATTCAATTATGAGAATTGCAATTAAAAGCACGCTTCTAACTCGCTCATACCTTTTTTTGTCAAGCTGCACAAAGCCTGGAAAAAAAGATTAAAAATCAGTGATATAACTCAAACGAGAAAACAAAACAATTCATATTGTTATTGTAATAACGCAGAGTGTCTCGTAATAAAAAAAATGTTAAAAAATTATCATTACAGGCAAACATTACTTTCGGGGATTATTTTTGCCCAATGCACAGTAAACAACTTTATTCCCTTAATGGCAAGAATTATCCAAATTGCAGTGAGTATTCCGGAGATCATTTTTTCTTAAAAAAACAAAAAACAAAAAAATGGGAAAGAAAGTACTCTGGAAGAATATAATCACGTCTGGAACTTTAGTTCAAGATTTCAAATGGAACGTTACAGTTATTTAGAGTTACTAAGAACGAATTCTTCTCGCGAGGTTAAAAAGAACCTTACTCTCTATTTGTGGGTGTTCTGGCTCAATAATTGCTTCTTTTACAAGATACGCGAAAACAAAGACTTCTCATTAAGAATACCGAATTAATATGTAAAGTTTTCGGTGTGATCCTTGAACCCATGTACGTATACATTGCGTGGTATGAGACATTTCAATAATTTTTATGGATAGTTAGCGGCGGATTTTTTTTCCTTTTCCAGAAATTTCTACGAAAGTGATGCAAATTCATTACTGAAATTTCGGTCTTTCTGTAGAACTAATTGTTTAATAACTTTTGCCGACAAACAAACTTCACATTTGATTACATTGTCAGTAAAAGGCTTCTCTTTGCTCTTGTGAAATAAATAGTAATAATTCACTTCACCAGCAAAAACATATTACTGAACGGACGCTCGCTGGCCTTAGAGGCATGTGAAGAAAAACAAAAAAAGTATCTTCTACATTTACCTTTGTATTTTACTTAAGTCTACGTTGTAAATATTCAAGTTTATAACCAGTCGTAGATAGCGTTCTTTCTAGTAAAAAAAAATCACAAGATGATAACAATTGAAATTTTTATTTTCCACATTACAAGAGTTCAACTATTGCTTTTCTTTTCAGCTGTACTGGGTGAAACATCACGTGACGCGCCATGGTTTCCGAATCAGCTCAAATTGTGATCACTACGATCTTCACCATGCTTGTAATCACAGATATCATGGGAAACACTCTGGTTTGTGCTGTCATAATCAAAAGCCATGACATGAGGTAAGTTGAGAACAGATATATTAATACATGTAGTGAAGAAAGAATGAAAATTCATCTTAAAGCGTCAATTCTTGCTTGGTGCTGTTTGGAGAGACTATAGTCAATTCTGCCGTTATCTACAACTTATCGTTTGTTTCCATCATTTCCAAACGGTATATTTATATAAAATGCTGGGTACAAAATAAAAATATACTCTGAGGAGATCGTCCGACTACTCAGGGCATTTGCTTTCCTTCATTGTTACTCTCCACAAAAGCAAAGACTAATGTATTCTTATCGTAGTGACCACTGGCAATTCCAGTCTACTGACTAGGGATTTAAGTCGGTATTTTCTTACTTAAAAAATTGTATTAGTGCTGCTGTAGTAGTATTTGTTAATTTGCTTCCAAATAAATATATAAAGAAATATCGTACATGTGGCTTGGCCAAGAAAACAAACTTAGGCGGTATACATAATCAGTCCGTAATATAAATCAATTTCATCTCTAGGACGCCTATGAACTATTTGCTGATCAATTTGGCTCTGGCAGATATTATGGTGGCGTTGTTTATTGCACCGCAGTTTATCCTCATCCATACTTTCAAGCATCCGGATGGCATGACAGGAGCTTTATTTTGTAAACTGCTGACTGGTGGTAACCTGATGTGGACAGGCGCAACTGCATCTGCCTTCACATTAGTTGTCATTGCGTTTGAACGATATTATGCTGTAATGTATCCTCATGGTAGCAAGGGAAAGATGACGAATAACAAACTGAAAGTGAGTATGGCAATAACAGACCCCCGAGTACTGTTGAGAGAGCACAGATATATTCAAAGCAACGACAATGTGTTATGATGACCAAATTGTTTAATTTGGGCCTATGACAAATCTACCGGTTGTGTACCATAAGGACAGACTGTGCTTAGCTTATATGAGGTGTTGGCGTCATGGAGCCACTGAATTCGCGTCATAAAGCCTCTGAATTTCCCTTCATAAGGCGCAATACAAAGCATGGTCTTTTGTCAAATTGCGTCAACAATTTCTCGATACCAACATGTTCACCTGACTGAAGGTGGGGGTTTAGTAAGAGTTAAGAAAAAAAAAAACTGTATTCGATGCCAAACGCACTGAAATGAATAACTGAGCCACCTCTATTTTCAGAACACAATTACTATCTGAACAATGACCAGATGCGCTGTTGCATGAGATGAACTCATTACATAGTCTGAAGTGTGAAGTCGAAACCAATGTAGAAAACAACAAATTATTAAGTGCATTATTAAACGTTCCACATAAAACCGATTAAAAAAAAAAATTAAGAATTTCTTTCTTTTTTTCGTTTGAAGTAATAGTATTAGAACTCATATACCTAATGTTTGTTATTTATTCTCGCTCAAAATTGTCACAGTTGGTTTGAATTTTTAAGGCCTAATGGTGCTTTGCTCGCTGAATTTTAAAGTTTCAATTTCAATGACCTATTTGCTATCTCTTTTTTCCAAGTTTGTGGGAAAGCAAATAAGGCAATGAAGTGACAAAAAACCGTTATTTTTTCCATGATGTTTTTGGAAAAAAATAATTAATGATTACGGGAAGATGCAGAGTTCATTTCGATCTGTAATGAATTAACCTAATGAATCGGAGCTCGATCCTTAGTAATGAGACCAAATTCAAGGGACTACACAATACTTAATATATTAGCATTCTTTTATCTAGTAATAGGAATTATAGGCAGAGTATATCCTGTAACAATTAATCATTCTTATGATTCGTTTTTCTTTTTTTAATACATCTATATAATATTGCAAGGAATATGAAATCAAGCAAGTGCGATGCAGGCTAAATTTGTTACTGTATATCTTGGTCAAATTGAATTCAATACATTTGCTATATATAGATGGTTCATTTTGAAATCTTTTTTTTCCAGGCCGTAATTCCCGCAATTTGGATTTCTACAGTTATCCTCAACGCGCCTTTCTTTCTGACAACATATTTCAGCAAAGCAGATAACTTTTGCCTGGAGCACTGGCCAGAGGAATGGATGGCTAAAGCTTACAGTTTAACATGGTTCGTACTCCTTGGTGCCTTGCCGATGGCTGTAATGATTGTGTTGTACTCCAGGGTCGTGTATTCTCTGTGGATCAAGGAAGAACAGAGTACCAGCACTCAAAAGGTATTTAGAAGAGTTAAAAAATAACGATAACGCTTAGTTTCGGTTTGAAATAAAGAGGGAGGATGAATTATTTATTCCCAATTGAATAGACTTTTATTTAGACTTGTACGAAGGGAACCTCTGTTAATATTAAGAATACGCGAATAAAACAGCTCTGTAGTCAAAAGGTTCGAGTTTTTGTTATGGCTTTCCCGGTGCGAAAACTTTTCGGGACCTTCAAGAAACGGGCCCCAGGGCTCGAACCCGGACCGCTCGATCCGGAAACAAGTAGATACTAGATTTTTTCTTCTATTTCTTAAAAAAACTAATAAAAGTCCGAGGCTGAGAAATTAATCAATGCTCAAGAATCGACGTACGAAGACAGTTTTGCAACTCAGGACTGCGTGAAGTGTTTGAATATTGACCCATGATCAGTAATGCTTTATTGTGTCATAGTCCTTCATGCATTCTACAAAAAGTATCTCTGTGATTACAAAGCCTCGCCCCACGAAATTCAAGCCTTGAATTTGAATATGAAGCTGCCTTCAAGCGCATTCATTGATTTTTATGTAACGTTTTTATAATAAGTTCCATTGTTCCATTTAAGAAACAGTTCTCTCCTAACTCGTCGTTATCCAAACATGTGGTTTAGAGAGTAATTGTTTAAATAGGAAAGAGTCTAACCAATGTCTTGGCAGAAGTAAATATTGATTGTTCAATAAGACATTCATGTAGGCCTTAACACTCTAAAACAGAAATGGCAAAAACTTCTAAATCTTAGTCACTGCTATCCTGAGCTATTTTCTAGGATAGACTCTTAAAATTGAACGTCTGGAATGAACATTGCTAAACGTTTCCTTCAAAAATCAAGTGACCTTTCTGGAGTTGGTTATGATAAGTCACCGACGCGCATGGTGTTCTTCAAATTCTACTGTCTGGTCTTTAAGTTTCTTTCTCTGATATGCAGTTTAACATAGTTTTATTTGCTATACTCAGGGTGTCATTAGCGTCCGTAAACGCGTCACCAAAATGGTTGTAGCGGTTAGTGTCATCTACGGACTGTGCTGGACTCCAGACCTCGTCATCTATGCGATGATCCACTTCAGCTCCAAGCATAATCTTGGCGATGCAGCTGACATAATTTCCATCCTTCTGGTGACGTGCAATTCAACCGTTAACCCGTTCATATATGCCTATGTAAATGGTCGGTTCAGAAAACGAATCAAAGAGTTGTTGTGCTGCAAAAGCGGACAAAGAAACAGGATTCACGCTGTCAGGAGAGGCAGAGATCGAGAGGCCACACTTACAAACACCGTGACTGAGCCAACGGCAGCCACAGTTCGTGGGGAGGCACAAGAGAGCAGCCTTGGATTTACTCTGAACAATATTTCGCCCTGCCACTGACTCAATATTTCAGTTAACAGCAATTACTTCACCGGTCTATTAAAAGCGCTCACCAGCATGCTGTAATTTTAATTTGAAAGTGACTTCAAACATAATTATGTTTGCCGCTGTGCTGAGTAAATAGAAGGACTGGTAATATTATATTAAGATAAATTTCGTTTACTCAACTTTTCTTTCCTTTGGATCCAACAAAAATTTAATCAATTAATAAGTAACCTACCAATCCGAAATTGACTTAATATTGTGATATATTATAGCGGATAGGAAATTTCCGATACGCCCAGTCGAATCAAACAAAGTTTCAAACAGGATTTTGTAAAGAATAAAAACTTGTGCAAAGTGTGACAAAGACTCGGTCCCGGTCAGCCGAGATAATTATTCTTAATACTGTCTTGCTGTTTTCGTTTTCAGTTAATATTCTCCTAGAACGACTAATGCTGCTATAAAACACGAGGGCGCCAATCATTGTTGTTTATAATTAAGGATCACGTGGAACCGGTCAAAGCGTCAACGCATGCAATTCCAGATATTTTTTCTTTACTGCAATGCTGTTGTCAATAGTTAGTAATGTAAGTGATCTTTCTCAAAGGAATGTATATATTGTAAGTAACTTACGCAAGTTTTATCTGGTTATCCATCAGCTCCGTAATTTTCCGAAAATTTATGTAGATAAGTTATTTTTTTCGGTAAAACTGAATGTACATGTAAGATCCAGTGCATCAGTAGTGATTGTAATACACAATAACACCTGCATAAGTAAATAATTATACACTAGTACTTTGTATATTGTACTTTTCATAGTTTTCAATACAGTACAATACGTCTGTTGGCAGTACGAACAGAAGCGAGAGAAAAAGGAAATAATTTTCATTTCAACTTTAAGGAAGATAATTAATGATGACTATTATATCAAGGATTTTTCTGACATGACGTTATGTTTTATTCCGTTTTGGAAAGCAAATACTCAAGATTATTTCAAATAAGTGAAGGATTTTTTTCCTAAGATCCTGTGTTGCTATGAAAGAAATCGTCCGTTATCCCATATCCGTTACTAAACTAAATGAAATAAATGTTACTAAATAAATGTTTTCGGACATTATTCCTCGCGTGTTTTTATCTGCAGTTCTCTCCTAAACTGATAGAGATCAAAGAACGCCAAACCCTTTAAATATACTTACTGCACAAATGTATTTGAATATGCCATATTGAAATGAATTTGTGCAGCAAGTATATTTAAAGAGTTTGCTTTTTTTGCTGAAATATTGATCTTCGAGCTTAAAAAGGCCGACGTTCATGACCGTGTGTAAAGGACGTGGATCGCACCACTGTCGAGAACTCTTGATCCAGAAAAGGAACGATGAAAAGCATCCGGGTAGGCCAATTTTATCCTTATATTTTTTAGTATTAAAATGTGAATGACTTTCATGATCATTCGAGCAATTCTGAGGCTAAGTTAATCAGTGTTCATTAACCTCCTACATTTACGAAGCCACTCGAGAAGTTTGAGAAATGTGACAATTATTGCCAACAATTTAAATAAAAGGAAATGGATAAAATCATGGCTCATTTCCTGGTGAAACTCAAATTATCTCTTTCAAGAAATTTAAAGTCGTTTTCTTGAAGAACACATAATAATTCCATCTTTAATGTTCCCTAGTTTTTAGTCCTGCAAAATTGTTCTCCCGTCCCCACATGCCTCACACATATTTTTTTCGGTAGCCCAACATGCCCAGTTTACTGACTCATGTGTACGTTTTGATAATATGTAAGTTATTATTAATATAAATTACATCCATAATTACTTCCATAATTTAAATGTATTGGGAAACTGTCAAAATCATTTCTTTATTTTATTTAACATATCCGTCTTCTGGATGAGACACGAGCTTTTAACTTTGTGTACTTGACATTTTGTCCACTACGAGCTCTCTCCTGCGGTTAGAAATGTTCCTGGGAACGTGCATTTAGAAATTAAAGGTAAGTTCTTTTTTTGTAAGAGCTAAAAGAAACGCTAATCATTGGTAATGCGGTGCATTTTAATTCAGGGTATTTCTGCCTTACGTTCACGTAGATAAATTATTATAACGTCATCCGGATTTAAGAAAGAATTGTTTTGCACGATCTCCTACACTGCATCAGAGAAAAAAATAAAAAATAAAAAAAACGAACAAGGTCTCTTGAACGACGCTTACCGTCTTTAAAAAACGGAACAAGGTTAAAATCCATTTCGAAAACTTTTCCGGAATTGATTTTGAGTAACTCGTTTCAAATTGAGGGCCCCACTGAAAGCCGCCATATCGAGTTAGGTTCCTTCTTTAAAAATTATTATATAATTATAATTTAAAACTTAATACAATCTCGGGGCAGATAGAAATACATAATCTGTATAAGAGAAACCAACCAAGTACCTTTAATGACAACCCGAATGACCAAGGATGGATGTGAAATTCTGAAACAAGTAATAATAATTCGTCGATTGATGCTGTCAAGTTGCGAAATAATCCCCTGCCAAACTTTTATTATAATTTATCGCCTCTTGGCGCGGCGGCTGCTGATTTCCTACCGTCAGGAGAGCATTATGTTCCCATCTAACTCGACATCAAGTGCTCTAGGACTGTCGAAATAATATACATTACGTGTGATAGACATGTAGCATTCAAAAAAAAAAGAACAGGTTGATAAATTATTTTACTTGATTCCAGATACGAGTTGGGTGACGTTGCTAGCCATGACTACAAACACAGTTTCCGAACCAGCTGGCGTTGCAATAACAACGATACTCTCCATACTGGTCATTGTAAATGTTACCGGAAACTCTCTTGTTTGTGCTGCCATAATCAAACATCACGATATGAGGTATGTCAATATCTAATCTCTCTACTGTAATTTTAATGATATTTTGGAAAGGTATAAAGATGAACTTGCTCTACAAGAACGGTGTCTGACCTTCAGGTAAGTTTAATTCGATCGACCCTGAGTGCAAAATCAAGAAACAGCTGATAACAAGATTTTTTTTATCCTCCTCCCCACGCAAGGAAGTAGAAAAAGCTATAAAGACCTCCTAATTGGTCTTTCACGAGGCTCGATTGCCGCCGCTCTACGTTCGGAGCACGGGGTCCTTTCTCGAACAGCGGCTGGTAATCGAGGCTAGCCTTTCTCGAAGTTAAGAGTGATATCCAATTGCCGTTATGCTGAGAATTACCATTTCACGAAGAAGATTTAGAAAAACAATAAGCTGGGTACAGTTAAGCAGTTCTTTGCACATGTTACAGTATCCCTCTTAGGTTTATAATTCAACATGCACATAACACAACTATACCATGACTTCTGTTACCTCTCTTCTCTAAAGCCTGGGAACATTTATCTTTTGTCAAAAAAACAACAACAACAACAACAGCAAAAAGACCACTGAATATCTTCCTTGAGGAAACTGTTATGCAAAGCGGAAGAATTGATATAAAACCTAACGTTAAAGAAAATTTATTTCTGACTTACTATAACAAAACTATATTTTACGACAGGACGCCTACGAACTATTTGCTGGTCAATTTGGCTCTGGCAGACATCATAGTAGCGCTATTCATTGCTCCTCAGTTTATTCTTATCCATACTTTCAAGCATCCTGGTGGCATGATAGGTACGGTGCTATGTAAACTGCTCACTGGCGGGACCTTTATGTGGTTGGGAGCAACTGCATCAGCCTTTACTTTGGTCGTCATAGCCTTTGAACGATATTATGCCGTTTTGCAACCTCATAGTATCAAGGGAAAAATGACAAACAGTAAACTCAAGGTAAGTGCAGCCGTTATTAGAAAGAGACAGAATCATCACCTTATTTATAAGGATGAGGGGATGGATTATGTTTTATGTCTGTTAAACTAATTAATCGCATATTTGAAAATTTACTTCCGGGGATTTGTATCCAGAGCCTTTATAAATAGTACACCGGTACTAACATTACACTTTTGGCCAATTTTAATTAGACGAAAAAGTTAACTACATGTAGGAAAGAACGTTTTGAAGTTAATCCTCGGACGTACAAGGGGAGGGGGGAGGGGTATGCCACCCATCTTGCCATAAGGTTTTTTCAAAGTTTTGAAAGGCGATTTACGCTAAGACGCTGAAAGTTTCAGTAGATGTTCATTCATCATCCGCGGATATTTTGATATGTCAATTGTGTGTCAATGGCAACTGCAAATTTCAAGGAGGTCTGGTCAAAGCTCAACTCTATTTTTTGGCTGTGATTTCAATCCACCCTTCTATCCCCCCC